ATCCATTTTACACCACAACGTCTCCCTCAAATAAATGCCTCCCTCACCCCGGAGCATTTATTCGAATAAATACGGTATTATATGTAAAGGAATTTTTTTGTGGGATAAAATCTGGAAAACCCCTTTAAATTTAATTTAAAATAAATGAATTGATCATATAAAGGATTAAAACATATTTTTTCAAATTCTGATGAAGGTGTACAGATTCAAACAATTCTCATATTCTGCGAATATATTTTAAATATATTCGCAGAATATGAGAATTGTTTAAATCTGATGAAGGTGTACAGAGTTAAACAATTCTCATATTCTGCGAATATATTTAAAATAGTAGTAGTCAATCAATTCAGATATCTAATGGAGTTTTTTATGTTTATTAGCAAAACTGAGAGTTTTTTAGAAATAAAAGATCTAGTCCGTCAGGCTTGGGAAACCCAAATTCTTTTTTTTTTTTGTGTGTGTCTTAATAGTCTCAAGTTAGTAGGGTTTTGGCTAAAATCCATTTTGCTCATAGATAATAATTATTCGATATAATTTGTGATAAAAAAAATGGCTTGGATGAAACCAGAAAACTCCAAATCAACTTGTGTATTGTGTTTTTACCAAGTCATCATTGAATCTTTACATCCTGAAAAAATTTTTAGCACACTAAATTACATCAGTACTGCTGAGTCATTTACTACAAGACTCAGACGATCACAATTTCCAGGATCTGGGCGTGAAATGGTTTCCATGTGGCCGGTGTGTAGAGGACTTGTGACCTGATGACACGGCAGGAATGGCATGTGTACAGTGCTAGACTAGGCTTGGAAAGGGTTAGTGCGAAGGGGACTTTTGAAAAAATCTAGGCCATGTGCTGAGGAAGAGGAAGTAGTAGGACGCGATTCTGAAAGCTTATTTGTGTTATGGATGTCTAGTTAGATTTTGTTGATAATGATGGCATGCCAATGGAGGGAAATGAAGCCCTTTTGAAGCCCTCTGCCAGGATGTCTTGCCTCTAGTTTCACTGTTAATGGTTTGTGAACTCCAGAATTTACCGTTTCATTTCTTGTTATTAGTTCTGAAGTGTAAAGGCTCGGAAGTAGAAAACCATAAGTCATATGATAATGTAAAGTCAGAGTTGGAACACTAGAGGGAGACATTTACACATAAATGCTTTTACTATTAATAAATTAATCCACATAATATTTTTTAATGTATACATAAATTATTTAGTTTATACAAATGTGTTTGTGTGTCAAACTACTTACTGATTATGCATGTTATTGAAAAACACAGATCGAGCCAGGGAGCATCCGCACCCAGCCATAGTTTTCAATTACACATGTCTAATTATTTTAGATTTATATTTCACAGTGCAAAATATATTTTGATTGAAAAAATTACCAACTACCCACAATTTTCAACTTCACTGATTTTTTATCATTTCAGACAACAGTTAATGAAGCAGCAGCCCAAATATGTGCAGTAGACCCCTACTTGCTAGCCCAGAGGGACAAGCTGTTTCCCCTTGCCCGTCAGGTGGTCCGAGATAGTGGTTACAAATTCAAACATGGACATTCCAGGTAAAATCGTAGAAAGTAGCTTATAATAACTGATTGAAAGACAGGTATTTCTATTTAATATAAAAAGTGTATTTTGTTAAATTTTTTTTTTTATTTAAAAGATTGTCATAAAGTTTATATCATTCAAAAATTAAAGATACTTAATGTCTTTGTTTCCTTTAAGTTATTTTGCATAATTTTACCATTATTATTTAAAAAAAAATAAAACCAAAAGCTTTCCTAATGTACAAAACTGCTGGTAGAAAGCTTAATGAGAGAAGACCAAACATGTTTTCTTTATTATTATTATCGTTGTTATTTACGTTTCTGTTATTTATATTTGTATTTTTATTAATGCTATGCTATTGTTATATCTTTATTAATATTGTTGTTACTTATTTTTTTATTATACAAGTATTACTAATCTTTACTGAATTTTAAAATGTTGTTATTGTTGTGATTATTTTTATTTTAATTTCAAATACATAGAGGGAGTTTCTTAAATTTGTGATATACAAATTAAATGGAATAATTATTAATGAGGAATATTAAATATGGAAGAAAGCAGCACAGTGAATAAAATGATATATGATTTCTGGTATGTTTGTTAATACTAATCTTTTCTTTGTTTTAGAGCTTCCAGTTTCAAAGGAGATTTAATAGAAAATGTAGTAGCAAAGCGCCCTCGTATGGATACTGTATACAGAGATGTAGACAACAGCCCAAATCCAAGGACAGTTCAAGCTGAACTCATGAAGTTAAGAAGAGAGGTGGTGATTAACTCATTCTTATATTTTACTACCATAGCCAATCCTAACACAACCTATTGGGTCGAGTTAAGAGGTGTGCATTATATCTGAGGACCAGAAAATGGAAAGAAATAAAGCGTGTAGTTCTAAACTTGGCTATATAGGTCAAGACTTGACCTCACAGAGTCCAGTCTACTGTAGGACCTAGGCCTTGCAAGAATAGGATATTTTACATCTTTAGACTCTTAGAAATAATACTCACATACTTTTAAAAAAATTAATTGTAGTGTCTTAATTTGATAATATTAATTTCCAATTTTAAATAAATATATGCAAGATGATGTGTGGCTTACTTACCAGATTGATTCCATTTAATTGGCAGAAGAACATGATTTTGATGAGAATGTTTTAATTAATTTTTTTTTTCAGGAAAGAATGAATGAGATCTCTTCCCAGTTAAGTCAGATAAAACAAACACAGAACAACATCAAAGCTGAGATACAGCATGCTAAGGATAGTGAGAATCTACAAGCTGTTTATGATCTCCAGATAGAGCTGGAAAAACTGACCACCCAGCAGCTAATGCTGATGACAGAGCAGACAGATTTGATCAAAAAACAACGTAGATCAGATAGGTTAGTTTTGCTTTGTATTTTAATTACCATATTTACGAGGGGTGACCCTCCCAGCTTATCCTAGAGTTTTGCTAATATTTATGGGTCCTATTAAATGAAATAATGTGATGCAATTTATATTTTTTAAAATCCTTAATTCTAATACCAGCCAATATATAAGTCTATGCAAAGATGAATGATATCTTCTAAATACATCTGGTAATTGAAAAGGAAAATCATTCCCTTTCAATTAAAAGATAATAACTTAGTTAAATATTTAAAAATAATAATAAGGAAGTTTGAAGCACAGTGGGGTTTTTTACTTTTTCCAATTCATTTTCAGTAATTTTGAAATTTCATTCTGTTTGCGCTAGGTATTACGATGCCAAAGCAAGAGCTTTTGGTGAATTTGATGATGTATTGGGTGATGGAAATTCAAGTGTGAAGTCTCCAAGTCATGAAGGTAATTTTTTTAATTTTTTTTATGTGGCCTGATTGTATAGTGCTTGTTTAATCGCATATTGGTATTTTTTTACACCCTGCTACAGCTATATTCCATTTCAGGGGTTCCAAGTCCCAAATTGCAGAAGTCTCCTGGAAAACGAGACAGCCTCCCTTACTCCCAGAAGCAAGCCAAATTCTTATTGAAACTAACCCATCTTCCACAAATTATTTATACTGTATTTTGAAGTTTTTACAACTGTATTGGTGATGAGTATCACCATGCACAGGAAAATAACGTTTAGATCTCCGGAAGGGGATAGAATCCTTGCCATTTTCAGCATGGGGATGAGTGATACTTCACACTTACCAATGCTTCTATGTTTGAAATTATCCTTCAGGTGATAATGATAGCGGCAACAGGAGTGCTAATTCGTCACCAATGCCTGAAGACCACGGCGGCGACAACTCCACGTCCGTAAACCCATCAGTGTACGTGTCACAGATGCCAAAAGTGAAGCAAGGTCAGACACAGAAGTTAATGATGAGACACACGTTGCTGGGGGAGGGACTCCGGATAGCTCAACAGCATGCCTATCCTGAATTGTCAGACCAGAATGAGGTCGAGAACCACACCAATGGCAACGGCAACAAATCAGATGAAGAGATGGTTGGTGTTAAACAAGTGGAAGATGAAAAATTGGATGACAACACCAAACAGAATAAACCGTTTTTAAATAATGATGCATCAGTAGAAGAGGCTTCTGAGACGGCTATCAACGAAATCATCAATCTGACAAAGAAGGAGCCCTTAAGTGCTGGGGAATGACCGCTTTCTGTTGCCAGACCAAATGTTAGCTTATAGACTCAAATATTATTGCACAGATTATGATGATAATTTCATAACTATTTTGACTTATGCTGTCCAGAAGAAGATTCAGGCATGATATATCTATACTCATTGTTTCTATATATAATAATCTAATCACTAATATAATATATTTTGTTAAACATGGTTTGTCAGTTTGTAACTATGAAGCATATTGAATCTAATAATAAATTCATAGCTTCCCAATAATTTTTTACAGGTACTGTTATTTTTAAGACCTAAATTTAGCAGGAAATGGAACCATAACCATTTTAACATACTGTTGCTGAAGTTTACAGCTTGCATTTAAGCCAGCAGTTTGGAATTTTGTATGAGCCCAAATGTACAGGGATGATTTTTTTAATCTTGTAGAATTTATTTAAATCTTTTGATTAACTCCCTAATATGGCAATCATACTCCTATATATGGCAATCAAACTCCCTTATATGGTATTCATATTATGTTTTAAAATGTACCTACAGCTGCTTATAAAATGTGGGCACAATAATTATCACTGATTTAATGATTAATTCAAAGCTGGCAAAGTAAGAATAAATATTCAAAGAAATGAAATGAGGTTTGTTAAATAATATAGAATAAATTGTGACGGGCCTTATGCGGCTGTGCTTAAATTGCTGGCCTCCTAATTCACACGTTCCTAACTCAATCACTGTAAATGTTATAATATTTGAATAGCTAATTTCAGCTTTTTTGTGTATCAACTTACTGTTTGAATACACAAATACAAATGAATATAATACATAAATAAAAGTAACAGTGTAAGAGAACATTATAATTAGCTTGCATCTGGAACAGAATTCACTTCATTTTATAGGAATTGTAAACAAAGCATCTTAATAATAATAATATTAGTAATAACAGTGGGCACTTATGTATGATGACATTAAAGAAAAACATCTACAGCATACAGTCTTTGATGTATACTACTACTATAGAAAGGGAGAATGATATCCCGTTGAAAATGCTATCGACCGCCTGATTATTTTATATTTATAAATACTCAAAATATTATAGATATTCGTAAGATACTCATTAAAAATATCTGTTATTGTTTTTTTCATTCCATTGTTAGATGAGCAAGCGGTGCAGTAGTCTATATATGGAAAAGTATATGGATTGTTTTCCATTAAGTAAATTCCTCATTTATATTAGTCATTTTTAGATATCTTTATAGTTGAAAATGTATCTATATGAAAAAAAAACCAAATGTTTATTGCTGTAATTACATAAAGTGCATAGATTTTGTGAAAATTATTGTACATCAATTATGTGAAGATTAATTAATGTAGGGCTACACTTTTAAATATATCTCTATTTTTTAATGGTATTCCTTAGTGCTGAAAATCCTGTTGAAATTATGTACATTTGTATCCTTATTTTATTTTTCTTAGTTTAGAATAATTGTGTGAAATTAATCCCTTTTGTGTTGTCTGTTTTCCATTGTATTTAGGCATGGAGTAATACTTATTGTAATTAATACACAATAATTGGGTAGTCTGTGGTAGAACATGAAAATAATATGCCTCATTTCCATTAAAATAAACTCATTTTTATCTACAAAAGTGTCTCCTCTTGATTGTCAAAGATTTATAATAATAGTCCTCGGAGGCCATTAACCTTTTTCATCTTGAAGTTAAGCTGTATTTTTGGTGGTAATCTCGTGGGTTCTGGGTACAATCATTTTGGGAAAAGTCATGATTTCTCAGGCAATCGGATATTTACTTCTCCAAGCCTCAGTTAGAGACCATAGAACTTTGAGCGTTCCAAATCAACTCCGCACTTCCTAAGCCTCGTAGATTTGGTTGTAGAATATAAAAACACAACTGTACCAGTAGTCTCGCTTTAGTGGATCACCCTTGTCAATAGTGTAAAAATACAATTGAAAAATAAACAAATTTTTCTAACCAATTTGCCAATCCAACCATAAAACCATGATATTACATCTTGAATGGAGGCCAATATAATGGGCACACTACTAAAAGTTATAAATGGAGAAAAGAAATTATGGTTCCAGCTGCATGCACTAGCCTACTTAAAGATTCGTTCTTCCCAGACGCCATCCGTATATGGAATTCATTACCAAGAGATGTAGTTGAGTCTCCTTCACTTCAAATATTTAAAACCAGAATTAACATGATTAATTTGTGCTGAATTATTTAAACAAAACTAAATTCATTCAATCTGGTCAGCGCAGTTGTCATGCAGTTGACGGTGGCAGAGCCTAGAAACTAGATCTGGACCCCAGCATACTGCCCTGTCGTCATGCGAACACCTGCGTGTGGAGGGCCTCAGGAGACAACTGTGCTGTCCTGATATCACATGATTCACCATTGTATTTTTATTTACTTATA